AGTCTGAGTATTTCTTTCTTGGGATTTAGAGGGAGCACAGACTGACAACTTGCTTTTCCCCTCTTCAATAAAGAATTCCTTCTGGAATACAACATTTTCAAAAGTTAATTCTTATTGTCTGAAGGGGGGAGAGTCTGGTCCTTACAAATCCATTCTTTCATCCATGTTAATGCCACTGCCTGGTAATACAATTCCCAATTAGGTCATCCAAAGCCTCCTCTGTTTCTTGAATCCTGCAACATTTTTAAGTTAATTCTTGCTTTTTCCCCCTGCCAAATGTATTTTAATATTATTTTATTAAGTTCCTCAAATAATTCCCCCCCCCCCATTTTATCGGAATTGTTTGAAATACGTACAGTACTCATGGCAACATACTTATTTTAATTGTAGCTATTCTTCCTATCAATGATACTTCCAAATTTTTCCATTTTTCCAAATCTTTTTTAATTTGTTGCATCAATTTTTTTAAAAAACAAATGTTATTAATTTTCAAAGACAATACACAAACAAACAAAACATAAAACATAAAAACATAAAACGTCTTTTCTGAAAGCTGCTTATTAAGTTTTAACAAAACAAATAAAACATCTTATTTGAGTACAGCATAGTTCCAGGTTATCACATTTCCATACAGACACAATTTCATATGCATATTCATCTTATGTATTCAACTTCATATCTTATTACTCTTTTTCCAACTTCTCACTATTTCTCCCTTTACTTCTCTTAATTTTCTTTTATGGTTATCTCATTTTCTTCTTATTCAATTATATTTCTTTTACCTAGATTTCTATATCTTTTTTTAAAAAAAAAACAATTTTATTAGTTTTTAAAAACAAACAAACAAAACATAAAAACATCCAGCTTTCTTTCATAAATATACAAACAGTGTGTCAGTTGGTTTACCAGTTTTTGTGCATTCATTTCGTAGTCTCAATTACAGTTACATTACATAATAACTCATATTATCAATCAGAAATTATATATCCTAGTATCACTATTAAACAATCATTTGACTATAATTTTATTCATTCATACTTTACGAGATAACTATAATTTACTTAGTTTATTTTATAACAAATCATATAGTCATACCAAATCTATCCTGAAAACATTTTATAGATATGATATCAAATAACAAAGAAAAGAAAAAATATTTTTTTATATATTCATTATTATCTAAAATTCTAAGTATTCTATTATTGTATTTTATCATCCAACCATTGATAGAAAAGGTCCCAAATTTTATAGAATTGTTTATCCTCTTGTTCTCTAATTTCAAATGTCAATCTACTCATTTCAGCACATTCCAATATTTTCTTAATAATTTCTTCCTGCAATGGTATTTTCTCATTTTTCCAATTTTTAGCAAATACAATCCTAGCCGCTGTTAATACATTTACAATCAGATATTTCAAATCTTTACTGTGTCAGGTAAGATTCCCAATAAAAAGATCTCTGGTTTCAAATCTATGTGTTTCTTTGTCATTTTTTCCAACCACATGCGAATTTTAGTCCAGTATTTTCTAGCGTCCTCACAAGTCCACCACATATGGTAATATGAGCCAGGTATCTGATGACATTTCCAGCATTTTTCAGATTTATTCTTGAACATTCTTGCTATTCTTGTCAGGGAAAAGTGCCACCTGTAAAACATTTTATACAAATTTTCTTTATAAGTTGTTGACATTGTCATTTTATAATTTTGAGACCACAATTTTTGCCATTTCTCTAAATCAATCCCATATCCAAAATTCTTCCCCCAAGCAATCATAGTTTCTTTAACTTGTTCTTCCTCTAATTTAATTCCCAGTAAATAACCGTATAATTTTTTAATCACCTTTTCATCAGTACCTGTCAAAATCTTATCTAGATCAGTCAGTTTATCATAAAATCCCTCTGTTTTAGAATCTTCATCATACCTTGAATGTATTTGTGCATATGAAAACCAATTCATCTTTATACCTTGTTCCTCTATGTTTTGCATCGATTTAAGTTCACCCTTTTCATCCAATATTTCCCCATATCTAACTGTTTGTTCCTTCTTATAAATTATAGGATAGGAAAATGCTTCAATGGTCGAAAACCAAACTGGAATTTTCAAATAACATTGTCTTTTGATCTTCTCCCAATTTAATCACAAAGACTCCCGTATATAATGTCTTCTGAAATAACCCTGTGTTTTAGTTCCCTTATACCATAAAAAGGCATGCCAACCCAACAGCAAATCATGACCTTCTAATGTCAACAATCTGGTCTTTCTTAATGTTATCCATTCCTTGGCCCACATCAAATTTGCAGCTTGATAGTACAACTCCCAATTAGGCAAACCAAATCCTCCTCTAATTCTAGCATCTTGTAAGAGTTTTAACTTTATTCTCGCTTTCTTACCTTGCCATATATACTTCAACACAATTTTATTTAAGTCTTCAAAATAGTCTTTTCCAAGCCTAATTGGTATTGTTTGAAACAAATATAAGATTCTGGGTAAGATATTCATCTTGATTGTTGAGATTCTCCCTATTAATGACAATTGTAGATTTTCCCATTTCTTCAAATCTAAGGCTATCTGTTGTTTAAGTTTAATATAATTATTCTCTTTTAATGTACTACATCTTGATGTCAAATATATCCCCAAATACTTGACCTTGTTCGTGTCTTGAATTTTCAATAGGTCTGCCAGTTCTTCTCTTTGTCTTAGTAACATATTCTTTGTCAAGATCTTTGTTTTATCTTTATTTATTTTCAGACCAGCCACCTCACCATATGCCTCTATCTTTTCCAATAGTTTTGGAGCTGTTTCTAAAGGGTCTTCCAAAATAAAGGCCAAATCATCCGCAAAAGCTTGCAGTTTAAATTCTTCCTTTTTAATTTTCATTCCTTTTATGCTTTTATCATCTCTAATATTTCTATTCAACACTTCCAAAGTCAATACAAATAGCAAAGGTGATAGAGGGCATCCTTGTCTTGTACCTTTTCTTATATTAATAAAATCTGTGAATTCTCCCTCTATCATTACCTTTGCCGTTTGCTTATAGTATATGGCTTCTATTGCTTGAATAAATTTTCTGGCAAAACCCATCTGTTCCAATAGTAGTAACATAAATCTCCAGTTCACATTATCAAAAGCCTTTTGGGCATCTAGGAATATCAAAGCCATTTGCTTTTCAGGATGTGCCTCATAATATTCCAAAGTATCCAGGATTACTCTCATATTGTCTTTAATTTGTCTCTTTGGGAAAAATCCATTTTGATCTGGATGAATAAAGTTATTTAGATATTTTTTAAGTCTTTCTGCCAAAATTGAAGCAAAGATTTTATAGTCTGCGTTTAGTAAAGAAATAGGTCTATAGTTCTTAATTTGCAGTGGATCAGCCTCTTCTTTTGGAATAAGTGTAATATAAGCCTCTGACCATGTTTTAGGTATCATCTTCTTTGACATAGCTTCATTCATGACTTCTAGCAATGGAATGCTCAATGATTCTTGTAGTGTTTTATAAAATTCTGCCGGGAGCCCATCTGGACCTGGTGCTTTCCCATTATTTTGTTTCTTAAGTGCTTCAGTTAATTCCATCATTGTTATATTGCTTTCTAACATTTTTTCAGTCTCGTTAGATATCTTAGGTAGATTAGCATTCTGTAGGTACTGTTTGACTTTTTCCTCATCAATATACTCTTGCTTATATAGTTGCCCGTAGAAGTCTCGAATAATTTCCTTTTTCTCTTTATTACCATAACAAACTTGGCCTTGGTCATCTATTAACGGCAGTATTTTCCTTGATTCTTTCTCCTTTCTCAATTTATATGCTAGCCATCTACCTGGTTTATTTGCATCTTCAAAATAGTTCTGTTTAGCACTTCTAATTTTCTGTGCCAATTCTTCTTTCTCTATTTGACCCATTTTATGTTTAATTATGTCCAATTTTAGTTTAATATCTTTTTTCTGTGGCATTTTCTGTAGTTCTTTTTCAAGTCTTTTATACTCATCTTCCAAAACTTTAGTGGCTTGCCTTTTCTTAATATTCTTTTTTCTTATATAGTCTATTATCAAGCCTCTAGCGTATGCCTTCATTGTATCCCAAACATTCTGAATTGAAGTATCTTCTTTTTTATTTTCTCTAAAGAAAAAAGCCAATTCTTTCTCGATTCATTGTGTAAAATCTTTTTCCTTTAAAATAGTATTATTTAGCGTCCATCTCGATCTTTTTTTTTTGTCCTTTCCATTTAATTGTCATTGGATTATGGTCTGCCCAAGTACTTGTTTCAATATTTATTTCTTGAATGTTAGATATTAGTTCTGTTGAGATCCAAATCATATCTAATCTGGACCATGATAAATGTCTGTTTGAATAAAAAGTGTATTGTTTAGTTTTAGCATTTCTTTCTCTCCATATATCTTTTAAATTTAATTCATCTATCATTTTAAAAAAGGATTTAGGGAGAGTCTGTTTTGCTTTGTTGTTATTGCTGTATAGTCCAGTTTATTGTCCACAATTCCATTAAAATCTCCCATCATAACTATATTAACATAGTCCAGTCCAATTATTTTCATGTGTAATTTTTTATAGAATTCTTCTTGTTTATCATTCGGAGCATAAATTGCAATCAAGAGTGTTTTCATATTATTGTCCATTATTTCCACCATTAATACTCTTCCATCTTCATCAGTATGAATCAATTTTGCTGGGATAGTCTCTTTAATGTATAAAACCATTCCTCTTTTCTTACATTGAGTCAAAGAAGTGAATATTTCCCCTAATTTTGGCTGTACCAACATATTGTTCATATTGTTTTTTAATGTGTACTTCTTGTAAGCAAATTATATCAAATTTTAATTTCTCTAATTTATGAAAAAATTTCCTTCTTTTAACAGCTGAGTTAAGTCCATTTATATTCATTGTAATCAGTTTTTTCTCTTCCATGATTATATTTTGTAATTAGGTTTGGCAGCTCTCGTAGTTCTTGGTTCACGTTCTTTGATTTCCACCTGTCCACCTACTGCGCCTTCTTCTTTTTCAGTCCCCATTTGGTCCTCTTGGAATTCAATTAGTGAGACCTTTTTTCTGCCTCTTCCTCTCTCCTTCCAAAAAATTCTGCGTAGAATAATTCTGCTTTCTCAATTGAATCAATTCTGTGTCTCTGTTCTTGCCATGTAAACATTAGTCCTTCTGGAATCAACCATCTATAATTCACCTCCTTTTTCAATAGCATTTTAGTCAAAAATCGATATTCTCTTCTCATCTCTCTCACTCTTCTAGGTATTTGTTTTAAAACCACAATCTCCTTGTCTTTGTATTTCAACGTCTTCTCTCTTGCCACTTGTAATATTTGTGTTTTAATGGATTTTTTGGTAAATCTGATGTGAACTTCTCTTGGTAAGTTGTTTCTCATCGCATATCTTGTAAAGACTCGATATACCTCATCTACTCCATCCATCATCTTTTCCTCTGTTATTTCCAAAGTTTCAGCCAGAATTTCTATCATTATCGCAGCTAAATTTTGTCCTTTTTCTTCCTCTATATTTTGAAATCTGAGATAGAATTCTGACCTATCCATCTCCCACTTCAGCATCCCACTTTTATCTTGTTCAACCACTGTTAATCTGCTATCAATATTTCCAATCTTCTCCTCTCTTTGTTTATCTTCTTCTTCAATTTTTTGGAATCTCTCATCATACTTCACCATCATTTGTTGGATATTTTCAATTTTTTCATCGGTCTTCCCTGTTCTTTGTTCAGTGTTCTCTATTCTTTGTTCAATATTCTCTGTTCTCTTTTCAATGGTGTCTGATTTTATCTTGATATCTTGGATTCCTTGCATAATCATCTGTAGGGTCACTTTTTCTTGTTCTTTATCTTGCTTTACATTGTCTGAATTAAACGTCCTCCAGATGGTGGGGAGGCAGAAGTAGAGGTAGAGACGCCAGAAGGTATGAGTTTCCTACTCATTTTGAACGATTCACGACCTTCAAATTCTTTTAGACTTTAATCCAATTACTAAAGTAGCCAATTATAATCCAAAGTGGATTTCTATATCTTTTTATTCATTGTACTTATACTTTCGTCTGTCTTGTTTACAATTTCATATGTTCTCTTCCAACATTCTTCAAAAATTTTATTAATTTTCAATAAACAAGCATGGACAAACAAAACACAAAACATGAAAACATAAAACTTCTTTTTGGAAAGCGGCTTAGCCCCGGGTTACATCTTTTTGTACAGACATAAATCAAATTCATGCTCACCTTATATACCATTTCATATCTTATTTAACATTCTATATTTTCTATATGTCTTCTGCCCTCTTTTCACTCTCTTAATTCTATTTTATTTATTTCATCTCAATTTAAATCATTATACTTGTATCTTTAGTCCGTTCTTTTTCAATTATCTATTTATCTTTTCTCTTTAATACAAAGTTTCTCCTGTAATCACTGGTTGAAGTGTGACACCTTTCTATCTTTCCCCTAAATTTAACACTTAAAATAATATATAATTTCCATTCTGATTCTGCTTAGTACATTCTACGTACTACATTTTAAAATAAGAAAATAATAAGTTTATAATATAGTTAAAACAATGATCCATAGCAAATTAAACTCTATCATTAAATCTTAGACATTTTACACATTCCCTTTAATATTTTATTAACTCATATAATATTCCAATTTTCTAACTCTATTTCAAATACAAATACTACAATACAATCTTATGTACTTTTGCAGAATCTCTTTTTAAATTGTATTTTACCCTTTATCTCTGAAAAAAACCTGTTTTTTAACATCTTGTTTCAAGCCTTTATAACTTCTCTTCCCTTTTTCCCTTCCTTTGTTGTCGAATCTAGTCTTTTTACCCCCCCCCCCCCATCTCTTAATCTCCACCCTCTTAGTCTCCCCTCTCTGTTGTATTCCTCTTTTCTGTTGCTTTCTGACATTGTATCGATTTTTCACCTTATTTTTCCCTTTCTTGGTTGTTTTTTTAAATCTTGTATTCTCCATTCTCTTTCCCCTCTTTCCCTTTTCTTCCTCAACTAAAATTATTTGTTCATCAAAGATGGCTTCTTCTTCATCCCAGCCTTCCTGCTGTTGTAATTCCTGGTAGGTAGAAATCGCCATTTCTAAGAAGTGAAAAACAGATCCAGAAGAACCCCTGCCTTCTTGTTCCTCTTCTTTTAGCTTTTTGAATTCCATTTTCAATTCTTCAACCGACAATGCCATTGTAAGATTTTTTAAAAAAAAAAACAACCCAAATGTTTTTAGTTTTTTCAAAAAATAGTTTCCAAAAGTCCCAAAGTCACCAAGCAATCCAAATCAACACAAACTGTTTCATTTAGCACTTTCTTCTTTTTATACTTTCTCTTCCTGAGGTAGAATTCAATTACAAAGTTCCAAAATGTATTTTTTATAAGTCTTATTGCAGTTTATCTCTGATCTTATAAGCTCCAAGCAGTCTCCTCCAGCAAAGTCTTAATATAAATTCTTTACCTCTCCCTTCCCACTTATAGCAAAAAGATTTTAATTTTTAAATTCCAATGTTCAGAAATCTTTAATGTCCCCTTGGCTTTAATTTTCAGGTTTAATTGCCTTCTGTTGCCAAAGCGGGTTTTTCCGATTTCCATCTGCTGTCTCCGTAGGGAAGGAGAGTGAGAAAAAAAAAAATTTCCCTTTTCACTTTCATCCTCCACTTTTTACAATCTTCTTAGGGAACAATGTATCTTTAAAAAAGTTGAATTTCCAGGGTATTTAGATGTTACTTGTTGTCCTGGTTCAGCCAAAGACTTTCACTTTCTCAACTTCCTCCTGCACATTCTTGTCCAGCTGAAAGCTTCTTTGTGGCGGCCATTGCTGACCGCCGCTCCACCGCCTTTGGAAAAGGGAGTTAAGCCGGCTGAGGAGGGGGGTTGCAATTCCCCCGGACCCCTGCCCGGATCTCCCCTATCTTCAGTCACCTCTACGGGGTAACTATAGCCTCCAAATCGAACTGGATCGGGGGCACTCCAGCGGCGAGCGCAGCAGGAACCGCGCATGATCGCGGATTCCTGCCGCCGCTGAAGCTTGCAAACCGGAAGTCCGCATCAATTTTTGATAATTATCTTCCTTAATCGTTACACATCTTGCTGTCAAATAAATTCCTAAATATTTTACTTTCTTAGTAATCTGAATATCTATTCTCGTCATTAACTCTTTTTTCTGCTTATGGGTTTTTTTGCTAAAAATTTTGTTTTCTCTTTATTTACAGTCTTGCTACTGCCCCCATATTCTTCTATTTAAAAAATAATAATTTAGGCCCTGTTTCTTGTGCGTCTTACAAAATAAATACTAAGTCTGCAAACGCCTGTAGTTTTTACTGTTCTTTTTTTATTTCCATACCTTTTATCTCTGCATCCCGTCTAATATTTCTATTCAATACTTATACTATACTCCATTTATTATCATCTTTACATTTTCTTTATAAAAAATCACCTTAATCTTGTTAATAAATCTCTCCCCAAAGTCCATGTCTTTTAATTGTGTTAAGATAAATTGCGAGTTCACATTATCAAATGCTTTCTGTGCATGTACGAAGACCAATGCCATTTGCTTCTCTGGATGTGCTTCATAATATTCCAATGTGTCTAAAATTATTCTCATATTATCTTTGATTTGTCTCTTAGGTAGAAAGCCATTTTGATCTGAATGTATACATTGGTTTAGAAATCTTTTTAATCTTTCTGCGATTATTATTATTTTTAATAAAAGTTTTATTTAAGTTTTCACAAAACATACAAATACAAATAAAATATCTTTTTTTGAGAACAGTGTGACCCCATGTTGTCACTTCTCCATACAGACATAAACTCAATACATATTTATCTTATACATTCTAATCCATATCTTATAGCTATTTTCACAATTTTTTCAATAGCTTTTCCCTTTCTTTACTTCCTATAGCCTTATTTTAAATTATCTCATTCCTTTCTTAATTCAATTACATATCTTTTTCTAATTTTAAAAATCTTTCTAATCAATGGTTTTATACTTTCGTCTGTCCTGTTTACAATTTCATATTATCTTTTCACATAAAACAAATTTTCCCCTGTGATTACTAGACTGGAGTGTAACACCTTTGTATCTTTTTTCAAATCTTATTTAAAAATTTAAGTTACACCTTTACAGTTATAACATTCATTTTCTAGCCTATATTTTATAACACATACCTATTTTCAATCGAATTCTGCTTGGTACATTCCCTTAAAATACACACTAAATTCTTTAAAAAGTATATATGTATATATATCTGTGTATATATGTATAACAATAGTAAATGGAATAATTATTCTATTCAAGTACAGCTCTGCCATTAATATTAATAACAATCTTTTACATTTCTATTTCTTTTAACAAACATTACCTAGTAATATCAGTTGTCTTTTACTTTAATCATCTATATTTCATATTTTACTTATTACTGTCTTTAAATAAAAAACCAAACAATAGTTATTAACAGTAGTCAATAAAGTTATTCTTATTCAAGTTCATCTTGTCAACTGATAAAAATCTTCCATGTTTCTTTTCAGTTTTTTTTAACGTTCTTTTTAAATCATTAAAAGCCTTATTCTCTTTACAAACAAATATTCCACTACACATCAATAGAAATTTTTTCTATCACTTTAATCATCTAACATATTTTCTAACCCTTTTCTATTTCTTTTTTTTTTATAAATATAGTTTATTAATTTTTACAATTAAAACCAGTCACAATACATACACAAATAAGCAAAAGAAAGAGAAAAAAAAAAGAAAAAGAAAGGAGAAGAGGAAGAGAGGGAAAGAATTTGGGAAAAGAAAGAAAGAAAGAGGTTACAGGATAAAAAGTATTCTTATTTTAACAGTTTGCAAGATCTTCTTTTGTTTTCATCACCTTAACTTGTGTCATATAACCACACCTGTTTTTAACTTATATCGCTACCTCGTTATTATGTATTGATACTTTTCTTTTATGCCTTATGATATATAATTTATCTTTGGTCAATCCAATTATACCAACAATTCCAGCTATCGTAGTATAGTGTAGTGTCTTTGTTTTTTAGCGCCAAAGTCAATTTATCCATTTCTGCGCATTTTGAGATTTTTTCAATAATCATTTCTTCTGATGGAATTTGATGTTGTTTCCAGTGTTGAGCGAAGGCTAATCTGGCCGCTGTTAAAATGTGTATTGTTATGTATTTGGTTTTTTTGGAAATTTGCTTATCAAAAATCCCTAGTAGGAAGGACTCTGGTTTGTATTCGATCTGCTCTTTGGTGATTTCTTCCAACCAAGTTTTAATTTTCTTCCAATACTTTTGGGTTTCTGCACAAGACCACCACATATGGAAAAAGGTTCCTTCTTTTTTCCTACACTTCCAGCAATGCGGACTCATGTTGGGGTGCATCTTCGCTAACCTCGAAGGGGGGAGATGCCATCTATAAAACATTTTATAAAGATTTTCCTTGTATGCTGCCGATTTGGTAATCTTATTGTTTCTGCCCCAAACTTTCTACCATTCCGCTAATGTGATGCTGCGCCCTACGTTCTTACTCCAAGCAATCATATTTCCTTTTACAATTTCTTCTTCTAGTTCTGTTTCTAATAAGTAGTTATAAAATTTTGTTTTTGTTTTTTTATTTGATCCTAATAAAATTTTATCTAACTGTTGCAGTTTGTTATTAATTCCGAATTCTTTTTTGTCTTGTTTATATCTGCTTTGAATCTGAAGGTAAACCCATTGATCAATTTTATGTCCTTGCTCCTGAAGATCCAGCCTCGGTTTCAAATTTCCTTGTGGGTCTAATAAGTCTTTGTATTTAATCATTTTGGTAAGCTCCAAATTGTTTGGGTGAATCATTGCCTCCATTGTTGAAATCCATACTGGTACTTTTGTATAATGTTTTTTCCTTATTTTCCTCCAAATTGTTAATAGTGCGTCTCTAATTAAATGTCTATGGAAATATTTTTGACTGGTTTTCCCTACGTCCCATAGAAAAGCGTGCCACCCCCTTTGTAAATCATGGCCTTCTAGAAATAGTATTCTTTTATTGGTTAAATTCACCCAATCCTTCAACCAAACTAATGAGGTGGCCATATGGTATAACTCCCAGTTTGGAAATGCTAACCCTCCCCTGCTCTTCATATCCTGCATTGCTTTTACATTTATTCTGGGTTTTTTCCCTTGCCAAATAAATTTCAGGGTTGTTCTATTGAGTTCTTCAAAAAACTTTTTATGTAATTTAATTGGGATCGTTTGAAATAGGTACAAGAATTTAGGGAGAATGTTCATTTTAATAGTAGCAATTCGGCCTAGTAGTGAAATTTGAAGTTTCCCCCACGATTCTAAATCTTTCTTTACCTGGTGTATCAGTTTATCATAATTGTTTTCTTTAAGTGTCTTACAGTGTGGGGTTAGCCAAATTCCTAAGTATTTCACTTTCTTTGTCACTTGTATATGCATTATTTCTTCTAGTTCTATTTTCTGTTTTTCTGTTAGGTTTTTGGTCATTAATTTGGTTTTTTTTTGTTTATTTTAAGTCCCGCTACTGCTCCAAATTTCTCTAATTCACTCATCAATTTTGGTCCCCTGTCTTTTGGTTCTTCAAGGAAGAAAATCATGTCGTCCGCAAACGCTTGCAATTTATATTCCTCTTTCTTAACTGTTAATCCCTTTATATCTGAATTCCGCCTAATTCGTGTTAATAATGTCTCTAATGCTAATATGAAGAGCAGGGGAGAGAGTGGGCACCCCTGTCTCACTCCTTTTTCTATCTTTATTGGGCGGGTGCATTCCCCATTCACTATTATATTAGCTTGTTGTGTATCATATATAGTTGTTATAATATTTTCAAATTTGGTACCCAGATTCAAATTATAAATTTTTTGAATTAAAAATTGCCAATTCAAATTATCGAAAGCTTTTTCTGCATCTAGGAACATGAGTGCTACTTGTCTCTCAGGGTGGGCTTCATAAAATTCTAGTACGTCTAATACTACTCTTAGATTATTCTTTATTTGCCTAGTTGGAAGGAATCCGTTTTGATCTTCATGTATATACAAGTTTAGCAATCTTTTTAATCTGTTTGCTATAATAGAAGTGAATATTTTATAATCAGTATTTAGGAGTGAAATCGGCCTGTAATTGTTTATATATCTGGGATCTGTATCCTCCTTCAGGATCAGCGAAATCAGTGCCCCCCTCCATGAGTCCGGCATCCTGGCTGCTAGTAAAACGTCATTAAAAACTTCCACCATAAGTGGTCCGATTTGATCTGCTATTGCCTTGTACAGCTCCCCTGGGATCCCGTCTGGGCCCGGGGTTTTATTATTTTTCTGGCTATTGCTGATTTCAATTCCGATTCAGTAATGTCTTTATTTAATAGTTCAGCCATTTCTTCCCCAATTGCCTTATCCTTTACTTCATCCAGATAATTCCTTATTCTATCTTCACTGCCATCCCCTCTTTTGTATAAATCTTCAAAGTATTTATGAATGATTTCTTTTTTCTGTTCTATTTCCTGGTATGTATCTCCTTTGCTATCTATTAACTGGTATATCAATCTCTTCTCTTTCTTTTTTTTTCAATTTATAAGATAGCCATCTTCCTGGCTTGTTGGCATGTTCAAAATAGATTTGTCTGGTTAAGTTCAAATTCATAGTCATTTTCTCTTGATCAATTAACTTCAGTTTGTGTTTGGCTATACTTATCTGATTTTGCAGTTTGGATTCTTTTGGGTTATTTTGTAGAAGGGTTTCTAGCTCCTTAATTCTTTGTTGTAATTTGTTTTGTTGGGAATATTTTTCCTTGTTTCTCTTGGCATTATAAGAGATTGTTGTGCCTCTTATAACCGCCTTCATCGTATCCCAGACATTTTGTTTCGTGGTTTCTCCATTATCATTTTCTTTAATAAAAAAATCCAATTCCTCCTTTAATTTATTAATGTATTCTTTCTCTCTTATTAATTGGGTGTTTAAGGTCCATCTTTTCTTTGGTTTTACCCTGCCCTTCCATATTACCTGTATTGGATTATGGTCTGCCCATTCATTAGGCAAAATTTCCACTTCTTTTGTCTCGTTTGCTATTTCCCCACTCATCCATGCCATATCAATCCGTGTCCATGTTTGGTGGGGATTTGAATAAAATGTAAATTGTCTTTCTTCAGGATGTAATCTTCTCCATATATCTGTCAGGTTTAGCTCTTTCATCATTTCCCTACAAATCTTGGGGAGCTCTCTCTTCCCCTTTTTATTCTTCCCGGCATTACTGTGATCATTTTGGAAATCAGCAATGGAGTTGAAGTCCCCTACCATACAAATATTTCTTTTTTGCAATTCAACCAATTTTCCATATAGGTGTTTAAAAAACTCTTTTTGGTCTCCATTTGGGGCATATATTACT